CAGTGGCTGCCTGGAAAAGGAAAGGCGGTGCTCGGGGGAGAGGGGCGGCAGCGGCAGCAGCCCCTCGTGATGGGCTGACAGCAGGGTCCCGCACTGGGACGGGCAGAGGGGAGCAGCCTGCAGCGCTACCCTGGCCCTGGGGCAGCCACCCCGCTCAGCTGACGGGGATGCTCCAGTCCAGCATCCGACCGCATCTTACTGGTTTGTCGTGTCCCAAATCCCACTCATTTTACAACTACTCAGAAATGGGATCATTTGGGATGCGACATTTTAAATTCGTGGCGTTTCTTTGGGGTGGAAATCACGCCAAGAAAGAGAGTCCTGAGGACAGGAAGGCTGCGGTCTGCAGCACCAAACTGAAACTGGGAACGACACCACAGCCTGGTTTCCAGCCACCGCTCTGGTTTCTGCGGGTGAAAGCAAGGTGCTTTCCACTTGAAAACCAAGATCTGGGTTTTCAAAACCACAGTCTGCCATTTTGCTCCTTTTTGACTTCTCCTGTTTCTGCTTTTGCCCCTGTAGAAGGAGGCAGGTGAAGGGGCTGTGCCCTCTCCCGTGGAAAGAAATCATCCGTGCTCAGCTGGGTAAATGTAAATAGCTGGGATTGAAGCCGAAATGAAACATTCCCACAATATTTGGTTCAAGGTCCCTGCAGGAAACGCAGTGTCCTGTGGAGCTCCTTGGGGTGCCTCAGACTCACCGCAAGCCGACGTGGGGGACAGCCGTTCTGCCTTGGGGACCAGCAGTGGGCCCGGCTGGGTGCCCGCCAGCGGCACCGGCACTGCTTGGGAAGGGCTGGAGCCAGGAGCCAGTCCTGGGCTCAGCTGGGCCATTCTGGAGAGGAAGGCGTCAGGGATGTCGGGGACAGCACTCTGCTGCTGAGAGAAGGCAGAGGGAAGTGGGAGGTTGGGGGGCCACCGCCCCCTGCACGCTGGGGACCAGGCCTTCCCCTTTGGTCGGTCGGTGCCTGGGCACTGACAGCCGAATGCCCGTGTGGGGACCGGGGAGGTAGACGTGCAGCCCCATCCCCATGGGGCATCCCACCATCTGCAGGGGCAGCCCCAGTCCCATCACCCCAGGGCAGCATCTCCGGGAAAGGGGCCCTGCAAGTGGGGCGTTTCCCACCTCTGCCCTGCTTCTTTTACGGGAGAAAACACTCAGGTGACTCCCGCCACCCCATCCACATGCCCCGTGCCTGTCCAGCCCCATATTGCAACGGGTGACCCCACAGAGCCCCATCTTCCCCACCACAGAAGGCCCCATCACAGGTCAGCAGAAGGCACGTCCTGACCTGGGGGGACAATTCCCTACCCGGGGCGTAGGCGAGTGCTTACCGGGGAGACAGGGGACGCGGGCATGAGTCCTGCGCCCATCAGGCGTGGGGCATCCAGGGCCGGCTCCTGCTTGGCTGCAAGAAGGCAGGGAGCAGAAGGGTGCTGCTGTGTGAGGGTGTCGGGGCTCGGGCGACCCTTCCTGCCCCACCGGACAGCCAGCCCCCAGCACTGGCGTTGCTGCAGCCCCTTCCCTGCCCGTCTGCCCCGGGGAAGGGTGAAGCAGCCCCTGGAGAGAGGTGCCTTTGCTCCCCGCAGTGGGGATGTCCTTGGGAGCCTTGGTGCAGGCAGAGACCCCCAGCCCCTCCCCAGCCCAGCACGGGGCTAGACACGACACCTTCTGTGGGACCTGTCCCATCGCATGCACGGGCGGTGGGTCGGTCAGGACACTGGTGACCCCTCAGCCCATCTGTGGAGGGCCGCGGAGACCAGGCTGGGGACACGAGGACTTCGCAGCGGTGCCTGTGACCAAGCCCTGGGTCCGCCTGGGCCCCATCTCCCTCCCCGGGGGCTGCTGGAGCCGGGGGGGGGGGGGGTCCCCCAG